TTCTTCTTAGTTTTAACCATAATTCGGCTTATTTCATTCATTTTCAGCTTATGTTTATTCACCAAAAATAAACTCAAGGCAAAACTAGATTCAACTCCAGGACTGTGAATATAACTGTCTGATATGAAACTTAATTAAAGATTATTAATGACGATTTAAGAAAATCCGGTCTTCTTAAGTATTTTCAAAATAAAGCAGTTTTTTATAGGTTAATACTTTAACAATTGTCTTTATAAACTCCATTGATTATACTTTATTATTCATCTATAATACTGTTATTAAGTCAGGGTGCCGTAGAAAGAATGCTGATCAATTAGGAGCTCGAAAAAAATTGAGAGTCGCTGGTACACTTCTACGAAGATACACTAAACTTATATAAAATATTTATCTTTATTGAACTATAATTTAATAAATATTTTGGAATAAATTCTAAAATTTTAACATTTCTTATGCGATCCACGATGTGTTAAGCTAAAGGAAAAGAAAAATATTCAATCTTCAGTTGGTATATAATTTGATAAAATAATGACTAAAGAATAAAATAGTCGCCTAACTGCATTCTCTCAATTAAGATAATTTTCGAAACCAGGCATTTATTGAACCCGACGATTAAAGATTCTAAAACCATCCTTCGGAAAGAAGAATACTTCCTCATCGATCGAATAAACAAGCTTTACCGTTTTCTGAATAAGGAACTAAATAATTAACCGGACAGAGGCAAACGAACTTTTTCACAGAGAAGAAAAATCTTTAAAAAGCAACGACTTGACCTATAATTTATGCCCCATATTCCCCCCATTATTAACTTTTGATTTAAAACATTCCGTCGAGTTCGAATCGGTACTTTCTGTTTAGAAATATCACTTATGCGGCATTGTCACGAGATCTATTAATTAGGAAAGAAAAAGCGTTTTATTTACTTTAAATTTTATTTATAATTCATGAAAATTAGAGAAATTTTGCGTTTACATTTTATTGCCGGATCAGAAACATATTGTCATGTTTTTAATAATTTAAGGAATAAAAATTTTTTTATAATTTTAAAAACAATTATTAAAACTACATACTTTTACGTCCAATTATTATAGCTTAGGTTTAAAAGCTTTTTAATGTCGATTTATTTAAAAGCTTTGTGGGTGTTCAATATTTTAAATTTAAAAAAAAAAAAAAAAAAAAAAAAAAAAATTTTTTTAAAAACAGTTCCCAGCTTAAGCAATACTACCAGTTTATTATTTGACTTTTTATATGTATAATTTAAATTATCAACGTCGTTTGAATGAATTTATTTCAAATAAATTGATTAAACCAAAAAACTAATGCATGAGCAAAATTGATACGAGCAAAATACTTTCATAACAATTTGGTGGTGATTTATGCTTGGTTATTTTAACTGTTGGTAATTAATATAAGTATTTTGTGCACTACTACTACACGTTATTTGCAGTGAATTATTTACTACAACTTTCTTATTAATTTGGAAGACAATTTCAATGTAAAAAATATTTTTCCCCTTCAAAACTTATTAGAGAATGTAAATCTTTTCGCTAGAAATTTTTTCCTTTTAAAAATAATGATAAAATAAAAGTATCTATATAATATAACGATCTCATTTAAAATATTAAAGATAAGTTGTAGCCAAATAAGCCATTAAATTACAAGAAAGTTTAGTTACATGAAGAAAAAGAGGTTATTCCTTATTTATTAAATATTTTTTAAAAGCCTATGAGTGAAGGTAAATTGACAAATGATAAAAATAATTTTTTTCTTAAAATAACACATCAAATTAGGTGATCACACAAACAATTTAAATCATCCGTGTTAATATAAAATTTTACTAAAAATCTGTGTAAAAAGTACTACGCTTTGCAGAAAATATATTCAGCATAGGACTTTAAAGCAAACTTGTATATAAAAAAAAGTAATATAACTGCGAATTTTTATTTCATGTTTTTTTATTTATTTATTTTTCCTCATTATATTTCGAACAGAAGCTGCCACACAATCGCAAATGTTTTAAGAAAGAATAAAAATCAATTGAATAAGTCCATAAAGAGAGACTTTTCATAATTATGCACATTAGAAATTGTTTAGGATTCATTTATCGAATTATAAAAAAAGTTTCAATTGTTTGAAAGATAAGAATACATTTCGAAGAAAACCTTGGGTAAATTTTAATTCATTGTTTGTTTCGCATTCTGTATGAAGCTCATGCACGTAAGTCTCTACGCAAAGTGTCTATGGCACATCAGAGTTCCGTAGAAGAGATTTCTTTCTTTTAAAACAAGAATTGATTTTTGAAACCTGTCATTATATTTAAGTTTAATCATTATTTATTTGTATTCTCGTTATTTTGATGAAATTATACAAGTGAAATGCTAGCTTTAAAAAAAAGTGCTTTTTTAAAAAAAAAAAATATAATAATTACCCAGGTATTTCCCATTTAACTTTAGAATTCGAAGAAAATAACCGAATTCAACAATTAAGAAATGTTTTCCTGTGATTTGCACACTCAACAGTTTTTTTCGCTTTCATTTCAACGAAAACTGTAATTCAGCTTATTTGATTCATCTCCAGTTTCTACCTACACCAAAACGGAATTCAAAGCTAGAATAGATGAAACTACAGACCTGTTAATTCAACTGTCTGACACAAAACCCAATAATAAGACTATCATTGACAAAACGATGATAAAGTTAAATTATTATCTCACAATAAATGTTTTCAAAATGATAAGTAGTTTTTCTTGGTTAATATTTTACAAATTGCTAATGAACTTTATTTTTTAATCGCAGTCCCTTTTAGAGATCCGTTACCGGTAAAAATTAGAAACGGTTTTCAAATATACCACTAAGCACTCCCTTAAATTTTGATTATAAATAAAAATTTGTCAAAGTCAGCTTATTCTTTTTAATTCATTTCACCAACCCTTTTTTTAATTTATAAGGAAAACACCGCAAAGGATGCATATTGAAAATAAAACATTAAAAATAGCACATTAATTATAAAAATTCAAATTCAAATTCGGAAGCAAGAGAAAGAGTGATATTCTAACCTAGCTTTAAATCTTTGAAAAAATTCGAAAATGCCACTGCAGGTGACTATTTTTTTGTGTTTAGTTAGTTTAAAATTCATTCCTACTTGCTATTCATATTTCCTTTTAGTAGTTTCTATGGTTCTTCGATTAACATGGTCATAAGGTTTTTTAATGTGTAGTTACATTCATGTGTTTTCATTAATACACTTTAGAAAATGTTTGGGTATGCAAAGATGGTATTTACCTCGTAGAATCACATACATGGTTGAACTGTTGAGATTTTCAGATATTTGAGCCAGACAGTTGAATTAACTAATTAATAATATAATACATCGAAGTTCGATTTTGCTGATCTATCAAATTATTTTTTTTTCAATATATATGGTTTAAGAAGAACTTGAAGCAGAAGTATATTTAATGCTCAGCGTGAAGAAAAAAGTGCACAACGATTAAAAAAAAGAAAAAAGAAAATCAATATTCACTAGTTAATCCATTACCATTAATTAACTGACTATTAATTTTACTTGGAAAACTAAAAATTCAAAAAACGGAAACATTGCTTGTAAAGTAAAAAGGCATGTCAAAATACCAACAAGATGAATCAAAAATTATTATCAGCATTTTAAATTTTCATCTTAACATGTAGAATATACTATCTGCAAAAGTGACGTGAACTACCTCAAGTTAGTTATATGACGGAAAGTCTAGAACACAAACGAGATAAATTAGTCAGAAAACAATTGCTTTCAAATTTAGTTTTTTTGAGATAATGGTAATAAACAAAAAGTTATTTCGAAAAAAAAAAAACAGTTTATGATCAGCCCAAAACAACATTACTGATTAAATNCATGATTAATCAAAAATTAATATCAGCATTTTACATTTTCATCTAAACATGTAGAATATACTATCTGCAAAAGTGACGTGAACTACCTCAAGTTAGTTATATGGCGGAAGGTCTAGTAGAACACGAACGAGATAAAATCAGTCAGAAAACAATTGATTTGATATTTAGGTTTTTTGAGATAATGGTAATAAACTAAAAGTTATTTTGAAAAAGTAATAAAAAAAGAAAAAAACAGTTTATAATCAGCCCAAAACAACATTACTGATTAAATAACCTTTTTATTCACATTTAAACTATTTATCTGCTGTAGTGATCAAGATTCTATTATTTTAAAACTTATTAAACCAAGTGCCGAATATCTCTGATAATATTAAAACAGATTGAAGCATTAAAAATATTGCTCATGCATGGGTTACTAAATTATGTCAAAGACAAAACTATAGAAAAGTGCAATTAATCAATTCGCATAAGTATAATGATTCTATTAAAAAAGATTCTACTCACACAATTCAATGAAATTCAATTGAAAATTATCAGATTAACGAGTTTTTAAAATACGTCGTAAACAAAATAATCATTCAAAAGCTTTGGATATTTCAGATCATAATTGAGAAGTTAAAAGTTTACATTTTTAATTTTTTTTTAACAAAAGTTTATCAGTTGACACATTAATCAAAATTGGTCCCTATTTTATAAAATTAACGGAAATAATAGTTTTTATTTAATGCAACGGATCGTATGTTTTTTTCTTTATATTATTAATTTAGACTTAAAATATAACCAAGAATTAATAAGACAAGTTTTGATACATGAGTTAATTAATTAAGCAGTAAAATATAGTATTAATTTACTATAATAAATACATTTTTCAAAATCAAATGCAATTTTGGAATTAACTTTACTAACACAGTATAAACTGAGCCTAATATATAAATACGGCACATTACAAGGCCAATTGTTAACTATAATATATTACAACCTAAAATTTTTCTTAACTACAATATCAACTATTACTGTGATGTAATCATGTCATACATTCTATGGAAAAGTAAATCAATTACTATGTCTACTTCTGAATATTAATTGATTAATTGATAAAAAAATTACCAGAGCACCTACCCTCTCTTCTCATGCCCATTTTGAGACATTTTTTCAGACGACAGTACTGACATTGATTCCGGTGGTGTTGGTCAATGGGGCAGTTCCTGTTGCCCCTGCACGTATAAGACAAGTTCCGCCGGACACTTCTCTTGAAGAAAGATTTACAGCCTTCGCATGTGAATTGACCATAGTGCTTGCCGCTTGACTTGTCCCCACAGACGACACACTCGATCTGTTGCTGCTGTTGACCACCAGACTGACCCTTGTCCGAACTAGAGGGGGTGCCTGGAGGTTGGGGAGCAATGTCCGGCGGCTCGACCACAGTCGTCGTAGGGTCCCTCCATGGGGTCACTGCCAGGGCCATAGGTGGTGTGGTCGTGCTAGATGTCGAAGTACTAGGTCGACGTTCGAATGAACCCGCTGGTTGGGGCTGGCTCGGCCAAGGGCCTGCCAGCAGCGGGTGAAATGGCCCCAACTGCAGAGTTCCCGGAACCGTTGGGGACGGCCCTGGGGTTGCTGTCCACTCCGGAATCAACAGCTTTTGGCCTTGGTGAAGGCTGGCCACAAGGGCTAGCCTTGTTTATTTCCAAAGAAAGTTCAAAAACTGTTCGGATAAATCAAAGTCGCTGGTTGTTAATGCTACACTGAGCATCAACTGTTATTTTTATTCTGTGTCAAACGATCTAAAAAAGACAAAAATTGTCCATAGTTTGAATCGACGACAATTGTAAAGTCCACTTAAGAAATGTCAATTGAGTATAGAACAAACACTCATGTAAACAGACACCAAGTCATGCCAGACGATCTTTCGCTTTCCTCCTCAAACGATCTGAGAGTCAACGTGAAGTGGAAGCTTTTTCTCCGCTGAACCGTATTCTGGTCGAACGAACCGACACGCCGAACGGCGAGATCTCGTCTGTTCGGGGTGCCTGAACTATGACACCCCCAACAGAACGCGGTTGCCAAGGAGACGGGGAGGGGGGGTCATTAAAGTTCAAGCAGGCTATTAGCGGCGCGATAATCCGCCGGTTCGTGGCCCCGGGTCCCGCCCTCGGTGCTCTGCCATTGGTCGAGGTGGGCGGGAGGCTTGCGCGTCCAATCGACGGAGGTCGTGCCGAGAGCACGTGCACTCTTGCACCCGCCACGCGCTTGCTCTTGGCAACTTTTTGTTGTGATAGTTGGCGAATTTTTCTTCTACGATTGAGTGGCGCTGGATCGCCAAGTTTTAAACTCCTAAACATACACTTCCACAGGTTCTACTCAAAGATTCGAGTGCTGGCGCGAGTAAAAAGTATGTTTTAGCGTTGATTAGTTTTTGTGCATATACAAAATGTATTCAAATTAGAGCATTTTTGAAGAATATTTCCTACTGTTAATGTTAAGAGAAAAAAAAACTCTTATCTTTTTTTATTTATTAATTTTATCTGATAAAAAATCAATTTTTTAATATTAGCGGTTAATATTTCTATAAATTATTTTAGCTGCATTTCAGCTGTTATTTAACTATTTTATCAATTTTTTATTATAAGTTATTTAATGTTTTCTCAAATTTTATTATCATTTGCGAAATCTAAATTTAATGTTTAGCAAATATTAGTTTCTTAACATTTTAAAGTTATTTTATCAACTTTAAGTTATTTTAGGTAATAAATCGGATTTATTTTTTCGTGTTAACACAATAATGTATTTGTTCGCGCAAGTGGTCGTTAATATCAGGGATAAATAAGATTTAAAATTTTTTTCCATAATATAAGAAAAAAATAATAATAAATAAATAAAATTTTATTCTAGCTTGGTAAAATAATTTATTTTGAATCAATTTCATTTGAATTATGTAAATATTGTTAGATTTATTTAAACATTTATAGTAAAACCTAGATATCATAACTTAAAATTAAATACCAAAGAAAAAAGTAATGATTGTAACATTTTTGACGATATGAAAAAATATGATATCGTTTTAGAACTATGTAGGATACATTGTTTTTTTTTTTTTAAGCGGAAACAATAGTATGAATTTATTTTTTATTGCACTTTGGGAGAATGCCAATTACATTTAAACAATTCAATTCTGATAAATGTAATGCTTAGAACATTATTATATTTATAGTTTGCAGCAAGTTTTTTCTCAAAATATTTTTTCTAAAAAGGTTCTGTTTTTATAAATGCGTGAAAAAAAAACTCAGAATTTCCTGAATTTGCAGAATTAATGCACCGTAGGAAATCAAGAATATGGAGTTGGAGTAGTCGAAGTAGAAGAAAATCGGAATTAATTAAAGTCGAAAAAGATTTCGTAGGAGTCGGAAAATTTTGCTTGTCTCCGTCTTCAGTTAGTTTAAAGCTAGGTTCGTAAATTAAAATATGAAGTAGAAAAAAAAAGATCTCCATCTTAAAATTACTTAAATAACTGTTAACAATTATTTCAATAAATATTTACAATTGCGCAAAGAAACCCTCGGTAGCTCAGGGAATAGAGCTCTCCCTTCTCATTGAGGTAACCTAGGTTTGAATCCCAGCCTCTACTGATAGATACGCGTTCTTCTCATAGCTTACATCCACCATAGTGCCAATATAAAATATCCTCACTGGTAGACATAGCGTGGGTTAGAGTTCCCTTGCCGTCAGGCTAGCCGTGTGAGATTTTCCTCTCCATATAACGCAAATGAAGGTTAGTTCCATCAAAATATTTTTACAAAAACTAGTTTGTCACAATCGAAGAGTTTCATTGTCTTCTGGATTGGGTTTAAAATTGCAACCTTTTTTAATGCCGGTAATAAAATAAAATTATGCATACAAAAATATTACTCGATTGAGCTTTATGACAATTATGTAAATTATTAATTATCATAAACTTAATTATATCCGTTGTACATTTTTGAACCAATAATAATTGAAAAAAACACAGAAAATCAATGAAACAAATGAAAAAAAATTGAGATTTATGAATGAATCATTAATAAGTTATCTCTTAATTTGAAATTCCCTAACCAAATTCTTGTTAATTAAATTACTACGTTAATTTAAAAAAAAAAGTAATGAATTTAAAGTATCATTTATAATAATTATAAAAAAATATAAAAAAAAAAAGCTGGAGGAAAATTGTATCGCAGTATTTGAGAGAAAGATTTTGCGGAGTATACTGGGTGGTGTAAAGGAAAACAATAACAGGAGAATGATATTTAACTCTGAACTGTACAAGATTTATATATAATATTATTAAATAAATGAAAATAAATAAAATGAATGGGATTGTCCATGTGATTCGTATTGAGTGATGACAATACAATCAAAAAGGTGTTGCCTTTTAGATCACTGGAACAAGAAAGCGAGGAAGGTGGCGGTTGAGATGGGCTGATTCGGTGGAGTCTAATTTTCTTGCTATTAATGAAAAGAATTGGAAATCAAAGATAAATCGGAGGTCGTTATGGAGAAATCTTCGGAGGAAGGCATTGGCCCCCATTGGGCTGTCTGGCCAACTATGATGATGATGATTATAATAGTTTCCTATTGATGAATATTTATTAAAAAAAATTTTTTTGTCATTAAGACGTTTATAGTTTATATTTATTCGTGCAATATATATAAATAAGTCATTCTTTTTCTGGTTTTGCATAATTACATTATTTAGCACAAATTTAGTTTTTAAAATTTGAATTTTCAACTGATATGTTATATTCAAAGTAAGTACATTTTACTTTAATGAATAAAAATCGAAACATAAAACTGGAAAATAAAAATTGCTTACTATAAATATTTTTCTGGGATGAGGGGAGAAATTTTAAGTGAGTATAAGATGGATTCTGAATCGAGGTTTGAGGAATATATTTTTTTTAATATTTTAACTTTTTATTACCTCTAATGCTACGAGAGTTTCAAATTTTCATACTAATTTGTGTAAATTTTTATTTTTTTTTCGTTTAATGCAAATTAACTATTACATTTTGCACACAACTGAATAAGATGTGTAATCAAAATAATAATATTTAATTGATAATTTAAATTAATATAATGGCGATATAGTGTATTTGTTTTTATGCAAACAAGTTTAAGTATGAATTTCATAAATAATAAATTTTAAAAATGCAAGTAGTAAAATTTTTACTAAAAAATACCTGTATCGGTATTACACTGGTACACAATCAACAGTTGGTTATATGACTGAGACAATAAAACAGAACCGGTGTAGTGCGACAGAAATTTCGTCACACTAAAGAAATACATATGTTACTGTTAAAGTTTATAATTCATTAATAGAATAACTGGACCTGTAAGTTACAGTATATATAATCGATGAATATATATAATATATTCATCGATTGGATGGATTTTACGTATAATCGATGAAAAATTTCATGCTTTACCTAGTTATTCTACGAAATAATTAGTGATAAACCGTTAAAATGAAAAATAACAGTTTCAAACTTATTTTATAAATTAATTGATTCTAAATAGGTAAAATCTCTCGAAAAATACATTTTATCCCTATTGCAGATGATTAATTGATAAATAATAGGAAAGATAAATGATAAGGATGATATAATTTAGTATTCCTTAGATTAATAACAACGACTAAGAGCAACGGAATGAAGCGTACACACACGTTATTGCAAAACAGCTATAAAAGGCTAAAAATTGACTAAAAGCAGCTAGAACAGGTTCAAAGAACTTACGAGTGCAGTATTTCATACAGAATATCTAGTTGAGTCATAGAATTCAATCATTTTAAGTACTTTAAATGACTTGCCTAGTTATTTCATAAAATACCAAGTTTTTCTATGAAGTAACGGATTTCACACTTTAACGGTAACAAATGTAATACACACTTTAAAGTAAAGAGTTAGAAAATTAATTAAAAAAAATAATAGTTTCTAAAATTGTCAAAAATATAGAACGGCAACAAGATTAAGCGAGAAAACAATAAAGTTTTTGTTTTTGATGATGTGGAAAAAGTCGTAGAAATACATGTCAACGCATGAAATGCATTTATGAATGATTTGAAGTGCTTTACTATTTTACTTCATAAAAAGTGCTTTAAAAAGTCCTTAATATGAATGCATTGATCAATAGGAATCTTCAATAAATTAACAGCAAACTTGAAAATGTATGTCCTGCACTGGAATGATCATAAGACACGGTTATTAATAGAAAACCGAAATCAAGCATCACTGGCTGCGGTTTGCGTGCGGGTGGGTGACCACTTTTATCAGGCTACGAAAGGACTGAGGATGAGCGGTATCAGTCCTCGTTGGACTGTTCTACCGTAAAGTGCTCGACTTCGAGGACAGGTCGTTGGGCTACCAAAGTGGCGTAGCAAAGACCAAAGTTGCGATGGCACGTCTTCGGATTATTCTTAATGATGTTTCTCAAACAGTCGCCAAGAGCTCATTGCGTAGATTAAATGTGTCACGCAAGTAAATATAAGAAAAAAAAATATTTTATTTTATAACCGTCGTTGAGCAGCCGACCCAATTGTGGGTTTACGACTACTAATGTTCAACTCCGTAGCCTTGTGATTTTGAACAAATCCGGAAGACAAGGAAACTCCTGGATCAATACCCCCAGAAGTTTGATTTGTTGTGGGAACATGGAGAACTCTACAGATTTAACGTGCATCAGTCACCATTTACTACACGGGGAGTCTTCGGCCGGTTTGGGATCAAACCCACTACCTCTTGGACATGAGCCCCGTGCCCTACCAACCAGGCTATCCTAGACCCCAAAATTAAAAATTAAAAAAAAAAGAAAAAACTATCCGCAGAAGAGTGTTGATTTTGCAAAAAGTTTTTAATGAAGAAGTGAATGATTAAAGAGGTTCGGAAACTACGCCCTAAACAAAACAGAAAAAAAAAGAAAGAGAAAAAAAGTCTTTTCTGTTGAATTTGCTTACCGCTTAACCTGGAAATATCGAAATATTTTCTTATATATTTTTTTATATATGTAAAGATGTTGTCTTGTTCATTTACGTCACACTAGAGTTGCACAATGGGCTATTGGCGACGGTCTGAGAAACATCTCTGATGATCCGAAGATGTAATCACAATTTTGATCCTCTGCAGAAGGGATGGCACCCCCTCTTCGGTATCCATACGACCTGCACCCGAAGTCGAGCACTTTAAGGTGAAACAG